TAGATTCGACTTATGCCCTAGCATGTGGTCTATTTTAGAAAATGTGCCATGTGGACCAGAATAGAATGGAATTCTTTTTTTGTTTGGGTAGAGAGCTCTGTAGACATAAGGTCATATTGTCTAATTGTAGTGTTTAGATCTCTAGTCTCCTTGTTGAATTTCTTTCCGAGTGTTCTGACTTTCTCAGAGAGCGGTGCATTGAAATCACACTATAATTGTTGAGGCTGTGATTTCTTTTTTCATCCTTTGAAGTGTTTGCTTGCTGGATGCTTATTTGGTGAGTAAATGTTTAGAATGCTTATTGGTTCTTTATGTAATGCTCCCTTGAGCATTATATAGTGTCCTTCCTTATCCCTTTTTATGGTTTTCACTTGGAGGTCAATTTTATCTGAGAATAGGATTGCAACCCCTGTTTGTTTGTTTTTTTTAATTAGAGTTTGACTGATAATGTCTCCATCCTTTGATTCTCAGCCTGTTTTTATCTGTAATGTGAGATGTGTTTCCTGTAGACAGCAGATCGAGGGTTTGTGTTTTCCAAGCCAGTCTATTAGCCTCTGTCTCTTAAGGTCTGAGTTCATCCCATTAATATTCAGGGTTGTTACATCTATCTGTGGACCCTGTGATGTCATTTTATCTCTCTTGTGTTGGGTGTTTTCCTCCCTCCATTTCTTTTCCATGGGTTGTGCATATGTGTGTTTGTGGTTCATTCTTGTGCCAGTTTTATCTTGGGGGCTTCTTTCTTCATTGTGCCAGTTTTATCGTGGGGGCTGTTTTCACTTTGATGGTCTCTGGGTGGAATTGCTCTGTGTGGTGGTCCCTTGTATGTGCTTGGTGAGTGTTGTTCTTCTGCCCATACTGGGTCAGTGAGAATCTTTTGTAGTGCTGGGTTCCTTTAAGCATATTCTTTGAGGCTTTATTTCTAATTAGCAATAGACTAGCTTGTAGTTCAAATGAGCTATGATGTCCACAAAGGCAGCCAAAATCTCAGTGAAATAATCTCTATTTGAGTAATATGCCCTGTCATTATAAGTACTGGTTTATTAAGGAGGTTTTGTTCTCAGTGGCTTTTTTTTGGTCTTATGCTGTAGTTGACAATTTAGCTGTGGATTGGAAAGTGTTATGATTAATATATAGGGACAAAGAAAGAGCTTATAGTTCTTCAACCAACCCATGTTAGTCTTGTGTAACCTTCAAGAGAGTAGCAGAAAGGACAGGCTGATAAAAATGACAACACAGGAGAACAGTGAGATACAGGGGCATTTGTTATGTAAATCTTGAAAAACCCTTCTCATTGCCAAAAAACAAGGTTGTAAATTGAAATTGCCTTTTTAAAGAAAGATGTTGATGGGAAACAGAGGGAAAAAGGGCACCAGATAATAAGCGTGGGAAGATCTCCTTAGTAACTACCAGAGATTCCACTGGAAGGGATATCCTGCCCATCCTAGCTGTGAGAAAATCAACTTAAAAGCTAAGTAGACCCATGTTTCTTCAAGTGGAGAGCAGCAACACGTACTGACAGACTCCCCTTTACCACTGACCAGAGGCACAAGCCACGTCTATGAATCCTACTGAGTTAGTTAATTTGTGCCAGCCTGGCCAATAATCACATGTGGTGCTGGTTGAAAGGCGGAGGGATAAATGGGTGGTGAAGCCTCGCCTTTCTAGTTCTCGGGTCTCTTGTTTTGTGATGGTTGCATCGGGTGCAGCTGCCTTAGCAGTCCCCTGCTTCAGCTTGCAAGATGGATTTCCTACAAGACATCCCCAAGGAGAAGCCACATGGATCTATCCCGATGCAGCCCTGGGTGCTGGAGCAGCCGTGTGGAGACCCTTGCCAGTGCTGAGATGCTTACACGTTCACGGACTCAGCTTTCCTCCTGCAGTCGGCATTATTGCCTCTGTTTTGTGAGGTTAAGGACTTTGTGGACTGGTGTTGGGTATGGGTTAATGTTGGACTTGTGGGCTTGGGGAGCATTGGGTTGGGATGTTTTCGTGATGCACATTTTCTTTGTATAAATCTCTCTCTTATACATGAGTTGCTGTGGATTTGTTTCTCCAAAGTACCTAGACTAATACACCTACTCATCCCGTGCACAGTCCATTTCCACCAGTCTCTCACGCAACACAGCCAGCCAGACCTCCTCCTTCTCTGGCCTCTGGGAACCCTGTGAGGATAGCAGATTGAGTGCGTAGCGTGGTCCAGACATTCTCAGTACCAAGTTCCACTTTGGGCCATTTTTTTCTCCTTCCTCCTTTCCTGCTTTGTTATCCAGGGCCCTTCCTGCTCCACGTCCCATCTCCCTCACACAGCACTCATGTACACACAATCACACTGCCAAAGGAGAAGGGGTCCCCACCCACAGGTACTGTTATTTTTTACTTTATTTTCTATTTTTGTATTTTTATACTGTTATTATAATACTTTCATTATCTTTTTTCTTTGTTCTCTCCCTCTTCCTTTTCCATTGCCCTCTTCTGGTGAAGCCCCACCTGTCTGAGAATATGAATTTCCCCTCAGGCAAAACCAGACAGGCCTGTAGAGTCTGGCATACCCACTCAAAGAAAGGTTCAGAAAACGTTTTCTCCTCTGTGTGAGGAAACCCATCTATATTTCGCTATCGTTACAGAACTTCAGCATGAACACACAACTTGCACCAGTGTCTTCTGTCTCTTTTGACTCTCCTCTCCCTTGCACATCCATCCATTATCACTGTCTGCTCACACCCTTTCCTCATAATATATATTTCCATGAAATCTGTGAACTTTGACTACTCTTTTTAAAACACATTTTCTCATTGTTTTTACAAATCTGTTGGCCTGTCCAGAGAGCCAGTTATTACTACCATTAATTTTATTTTATTCTGTCTCTTCCTGCCTTTCACTCTCCTCACTTACCCATCTCTCTCTCCTTCTCTCCGTTTCACCACCACATGCTTTCCAGTTCTTATTAGACCTCTCTCATGTCAGTAAAAAGAGCCAACCCAGTGGCTCACATACCACTGATAGTTATTGAAGAAAGAGCCATCAACCACAGTAAACAAGCAAAAAAAAAAAAAATCAAGAAATTACAAACAACAAAACTCACCCAAACCCAATGGAGTGCTCAAAAAAAGAGGTCCTGGAATGACCATAACTATGATTCAAAAGAATGTGATCCTTTCAAAAGTCCTTTCAAAAGATGTGGGGAACACTCATGAGAATGGAAGAAATTGAAAAACTTTGTTTATTTGAAAAACATTGTTTATCCCAGAAGACAATCATAGTAAAAGACCAGACTAATAGAATGGAAGAAAATGAAAATTGAGTTAGTGAGCTCGAAGACCATCACTCTCACTACAATCAATGAGAGAAACCAACAACAAAAAAAGCAAAGCAATCAGAAGAAATCCTGGGAATTATTTGGGACGCTATCTAGGGAAGCAACCTATCTTTCATCAGGATCTCAGAACAAGAAGATATAAACAAACAAACAAACAAACAAACAAGCTACAGAAAAAAATAGTATGAGCAATGATGGAAAAAAATTTTCCCCAATATCACAAAGGTGGAGAAAATAACTATTCAAAAAGCTAAAAAACTTTGAATAGGATAGACTCCAAAAGAAAAATACCATGGCATATCACAAACTCTCCAATCCATCTTCAAAGGATAACCAATAAGGGTAAGCTCAGACTTCTCAATAGGAACTATGCAAGCAACAAGACAATTTGTGACATATACAAAATTGCAAAGAAGAAAAAAAAAAGCCTGCCAGCCAAGAATCCTATATCCAGCGAAATTATCCCTCAAATATGAGGAGGAAATAAAGGTATTTTCAGAAAAGGAAAAACTAAAGGAACTTGTAAAAACAAGAGCATTACAAAAAAATACTTTAATAGAGAAGATCACCAACACTAATACATATGTCGGATAACCAGCACCAAAAGATGGGTCCTCCCATCTTGTAGACTGTGAATGTATTTTAGACCTTGTACTGTGGAGATCTGGGTGCTAATTCTCTGCTTCTTGGTAGCTGTGAAATCTTTGGCTACATCTCTTTCCTCTATGCTTAATTTCCACATGAGTAAATAAATGAAGAAACCTAATGCAGCATCTATTGGTTTGATTTTTAGTATTTTAACCCCTTTAATTATTATTTAGTTAAATATATTTCCTCCTAATTAACGGGTCCTGGATGGTGGAAATGGTTAAGTGCAAGACTACTAACAGAAAGAATGTCAGTTCCAAGCCACCCAGAATTGCCTCACCAAAAAAGACCTGTTGGTCAACTCCCAAAAGGTCACAGCCATGAAACTAGATGGAACACAGTTTTACTCTGGAACACATGAGGTTGTCGTGCATTGGAATAAAATCATATATTCTGTATCAACTTTTGCTTTAATGGGCACTTGGACCATTTCTTTCCACAGTGTGTCACCCACCTCCAGAAATCCAAAATGGCAAACATTCCCCAAGTAACAAGGACCACTTTTCCTCTGGGGAAGACATTTTCTACAGCTGTGAGTCTGGCTATGATCTCAGAGGGGCCGCTTCTCTGCGCTGTACACCTGAGGGAGACTGGAGCCCTGCAGCCCCCAGATGTGAAGGTGCCTAGACTCTCTGCTCATTGAACGTTTTCAGCAGCTGTCTTTATGTTCCATGTGCCAACTTTATTTCCTTTTGTCTCCCCTCAGTGAAACCATGTGATGACTTCCCGGACCTGCTCCATAATGGCCGTGTACTCTCCCCTCCTAGTCTCCAGGTTGGAGCAAAAGTGTCCTTCATCTGTGATGAAGGGTGAGTGTGAGCTTGCCTGACCCGGAGTAGAGACCAGGAACTGAGTAATGGATACTGATATTGAGACAAGGATGTTTGTCCCCAAAAGGGGAGAATTTGTGGAACAGCAGCACTAGAAGACACGATCTAAAAGATAATTGAGAAGCATAAGAAGAATTAGTGAAACCATTAACAACAAACATTATAAAAGGCAAATTTATAAGCATACTGGACAGCAGAAATATATCAAGAGATATATAGGTGAAGCATAAATAGTATTTTAGAGATATGGAAAGATAAACTTTCTATAGAAGTTACTAAGAAAGTTTAATAAAAAGGAGAGCATTGCTTAAAGGATAAATAATGAGCAAAAATTGTTTTTGGAAACTTTAAAGTCCATCAATAGTATAATTTAAATAGGGATTAAAGAGTAAATTTAAGTGAGTTTTTAAAAATCTAATTATATATTAGGTCGTAAGTTCCTTTGTGGGAAAATTCCATTTTCTTTCATTCTACTTTTCTGTGAAATGTTTGTAGCCAGCTTCATTTATCACATATATCACAATTAGTATTGGGCTGTGGTATTGGGAGCACGATGATTAATGTTCTAAGACAGATTATGAACTGTTTTTGTGAATCAACATTGTCTAGTATGATGTTCTAGCTCCACATATGGACAAAAGCTTAGACAAGAAAGCAAATCATCTCAAAACACTCCACAATCTCTTTGACACACCTCAGGAAGGACCAAGAGGAGATTCAGAATGTCATTGGTCTGACGATAAACTGAACGTTTTTGGATAATTCCCTTGAAGGACCCCTCTCCTCACTTTTTTTCTTTCTTAAATCACCTTTATATCCTTCAATAATCTAGCATGATGCTCTAACTGTCATTCCAGAATAACCCTAATGTGATGGCAAGAGCAGTCGCTGAGATCTTGCTTTGCAAACTTAACCCAGGAGCTCTTCTCCACCCCTCTCCCAATCCACTGTTTGAGAGAATGAAATGCTGGTTTTGCATTAGCTGGGGGAGGGAATTCTCACTAATGACACAAAGGAAGCAATCAGAGGAAAATGGCAAGCAGAAGGTTGAGGACCAACAAGCAACTATCTGTCTATGTTTACTACCACTTCCTCAGTTCGAGCTGGGCCTATGATGCCTGTGAGCTTTGGGAACCATTATTGCTTTGTCCCTCACTACTAGCCATATTTTTCTGAAAGGATTTGGTGTCTGAGTGACTATCCATTGAGAAACCAAATGAGTTGAGTTTTCCTCCTGGACTCCAACTGAGGCATTATGTTTTATTGTAGCAAAAGGGAAGAAACTGAGCTCTTCAGATTGAAGGAAGAACATGTGTGCTCACCTATTTACACCTGTTACTCTATTGTATTTTAGGTTCCACTTAAAAGGCGGTTCTGTTAGTCATTGTGTCTTTGATGGATTGAAAAGCCTGTGGAATACCAGTGTTCCCGTGTGTGAACGTGAGTAGAGGAAATACTTGATCAGGTCTGGATTTTTCATGTGTTTTGTTTTAACATGTGATCTAATCTCTGTCCATTTTAATTTTTGATAGAAATAGCTATTTGTTGGAAAAAATGAAGGCGTGTTTTCTTTGCAGGGGTGGGGGGAGTCAACTTGAGCACCATGTGTTCTGGGTACCGTTCTACAAATATGTACAGACATACACAATATGCTAGAAGTAATAATTCACAGATGGAGACACATTATGTCAGGGGAATAGTCACCCTTCAATTTTTCTTTTCTTTCTTCAACAATTTGTCCATCCATATGCTTATCAGTTCATCACATTTTGAGCACTTTATGCCTGGACACTGAGCTTTTACCTATAAACAAGACATATTAGGTTCCTGCTCCTGTGTTCAATTATTTACACAGGGAAATAAACCAAAGACATGTAAACAAACAAACAATAAAATAATGATAAGTTCTATGAAGAAGAAAAAAATCCATAAACACAAAGCAGCCCTAAACACAATTAGATACTTACATGAAGGAAGCTAAGAAATGCCAGGAAAAGGAAAAATTGCACTTGCAATAAGGCAATTAAAAAGTCTTATTTGAGGAAGTAACACTTGAGCACTGATAGAAATTAGGTAACCACTGATGTACGTATGCAGTGGGAGGGTTTTCCATGAAGATAGAACAGAAAGGCAAAGACCCCCAGTGAGAAATTCCCTGGCATTTTCTAAGAAGAATCTGTTCTTGACTTTTTATGAAAAGTCACTATGGTTGAACCAGGAGCAGTGAGAGATGAGTAATCCTATATTCTGCAAGAATTTAAAATTTTCGTGGTAAGTTAAATAGAAAGCCATTCAAACAGAAAGTCACGGTCTAATTTTTTTAATGGTATCCCTTTGGCTCTGTTGGAGCTCTGGTGCTGTATGGTTATGTGTTGGGCTGTGATCCAAGTGGTCGTCAGTTTGAAACCACCAGCAGCTCCTCAGGAGAAAGACCAAGTTTTCTACTCCCATAAATAGTAACAGTCTCAGAAACCCTCAGGGGGTCATTATGAGTCAGCAATGACTCAATGGTAGTGAGTTTGGCTACCGTAGGGAGAGCAGGGTGAAAAAAAGAGTATCCTTAAAGAATTCCAAAGAAAAGGAGCCCTTGCAGCACTGTTGGGTAATCATTAGACTGCTAATGTCAAGGTCTATGGTTCAAATCCACCAGCCACTCTATGGGAGAAAGATGAACCTAACTGCTCCCGTCTTTAGATTTATAGCTTCAGGAAAAACCATACAAGGTGGCTATGAGTTGGAATTGACCCAGTGGCAGTGAGTTTGGTGGTGGGTCTTCAGAAAACAGAGCCAGAAGCAAAAGTTAAAGTCAAAGCTTCAGTGGAGCATACAGTGCAAGGGCAACAAGCAGCACAGCACGAGTGAAGGTGAGGGAGGGGGCGGGGCAGGAGAGAGAAAGAAGGGAGCAAAATAAATAAATAAATAAATAAATAATGTCTGACCACATGTGCCATCTCTGGAGAGGTCCTATAGACTCAGAACCTTCTTTAGGAAGAGAAAGAGCAAAGAATTGATCTTCACCCCAAAGCACTGTAGCATCGTGCATTAGAGATTAGGCTGCAAACCAGAGGGTCAGTGGTTCAAACCTACCAGCCACTTCTTAGGAGAAAAATAAGGCCGTCGGCTCCTGTAGAGATTGTGAGTGTCAAAAACTCAATTTACAGTTGCTGTGAGTCGGAATGGCTCCGTGAAATGGGCGTGGTTTGCCTTGCAGGTTGTGCAGACTATCCTGCTGCCTGGTGTGCCATCTAAGCTCACAAGGAATAGGAAGAGCTACAGCCTCCATGCTTCCAGTCAGGCCAAACTGGGAAGCTGGGGTTTTCATGACCTTCACTACAGTGGCCATGATGGGGGCTGTATAGGAGAAGGCCACCTCTCACCAACAGGGAGGCCGAGACAGTCAGATCTTAGGAAATGAGGTGACAGTGGTTAACAGTCATTGAGATGTCAGTTGCTAGAGACAGTTGTAGCCGAGCAAATCTGGGGGATTAAGTTGGGAAGCTATTACAATAATTTAATCAGCCCAGGAAGTGGTGAAATTGTTGACAAATCTGAAGGTAGAGATGGACGTGCGGATGACTGAGATAGAGTGTGAGAGAAAGAAAAGATTTAAGGATGGCTCCCAGATTTTGGGACGGGGCAAACCTGAGGGCACAGTTTTAATGCAAGGCGTGGTGGTTGTTAGGTGGCGGCGAGTTGGTTCAAATCGTGGTGGCCTTCTCTACAACAGAACAAAGCACTGCCCAGCCCTGCGCCATTCTCACTTTGGTTCTTTTTTCTCTTTTTTAACATTTTATTAGGGGAGCATACAACTGTTATCCCAATCCATACACACATCAATTGTGTAAAGCGCATTTGTACATCGTTTCTCAAAACATTTTCTCTCCA